GGGTCGTGACAGGCGATTAGGCAATTTGCACTGGTTGCCTTATCACCTCCGCCAAAACCAAATTAATTTTGAAATTAATGAAAAAAAGGAGGCTCTTCTGCAAAACTGAGTTTTTTTCATGAATTTTCAAGTTTATTACACAAAACACTCTGTTCTGCTTCTCACTGTCCATTTGTAAGTAGTCTTATTAATCCACGAGAACTACTCAATGTTTTTCGAAAGGCCTCCTTTTGTTCATGGCATGACATGATATACCTTAATTATATATAATGTTGGCCTTCCGCTGATTCGAATGAAGTTAATCGACATCTGTTAAATGACTAACGTGGGCATTATTTATCCGAAACCCGATGAGCCCGTTCTCCTACTTGACGATTGTCCCATTATGTTTCGCCTTATTCTTGTAAGAAAATTTTTCACTGAAAATTGTCAGTAGCCTCTCTGGGACATTGTGTTCTGTTCCGCCACCCAATATCGTTGTACACTGGATTTATAGTTCGTTCATAGACATTAATCTGTCCAAATCGTTGCACTGCTCAAGAGTCCGAACCAGTTAGACGATATTGCTTGAGATTTATCAAAAACTGTTATGCATTATGCAAAGATGTGCACTGAACCTCGGGAAACTTGACCAGCTCTCCCCGGATTTGCTTGCAGCCTAAGAATATTGCTTACTCACATTTGGACTGCCAGTAGATGCTCAAGATGGTCCAAGAGTTATTCGTACACTATTTGAGAATATTTGCAGTTATCCACAATGTTATAATTAGAAACAAGGAAAGCCATGCACGTTTTTCTTGTTGCTTATTGCTCATGCTTGGCTAATTTGTCCTCCAGAAAGGGTCCGAAAGAACGCGTATCTGCTAAGAGTGCGCTTGAGGTAATAATCACAGGTTAAGGGGAAAATAATATATTTTTAATAAGTGCCCTCTGTTTTTATGTGTGAAGTTTGCGGTCTCCTTTCAGAAACCCATCACTTTTTGATATCTTTTATGCTGTGGCATGAATTTTCGGGTCTCTGCCCATAGGTACGTACCAATATCAGATTTTTTCGGGGAACCTATGTAGCAGATACTTGAGATGAAGCAATTAGTATCTCAGTATAAGAATTCTCTGCTATGCAAAACCAAAATGTTTTATGTTCACGGGAATAAATGTTCGTGAGGAAGGGGTGTCCTTCGAAATGAATAGAAAGACAGCATTTGTTAGTGCTCATATATATATATATATATTTGTGAAGGGTACGCTTACTAATTGCTGACCGCATTCACTCATCCTTTTTTGGAGCTCACTCTCGAGCTCTGCCAGCAGTTACGCAATGGTTAATGTTATTGGCCGAAGAACGTAAGCTAAAAAGACCAGGAAGACTGCCACAGTTTATACGGCATAATTGATAACCATTTCAAAATTAGTCTGTTCTAAATTATATTTGAAACACAGTAAACCTCGGTTAAAGAATTAGCCTGGGGTTCATGCCACAATTATTTGTACAACCCTATTTAACAGACCTTCTCTACCCTAA